GACATTCATGTTTCCCGTCTTGTTTTGAGATGCTTACAAGATAAACTTGTGGAAAAGAAGAATAACAACGGTTCAAGTCACGTTTCGCGAAAAAAGCTAGTCATTTCGCAATTTCCATGAAGAAAAGGCTATTCAACGTTCATGGCGATGTAACCAAATCACGTTTAAAACCAGCCAAAGGGCCCTTAACGATCACGAAAAAACCCCTTTCCCCTACAAAAATAACAGTAATTGATTATTAGTAGTGGTACTATTAACATTATTAAATATGAGCTCTTAACCATTAATTGTTATGTATTACCCACACCCACGACTTTTACCCACACCCACACCCACGACCCACGACCATTAGTCAAACTCAAACAAGAGAAATTCCGAGATCCGTGTTAACGAGACACCTGAGAGAATATTGCTTTGTACGATTGTACCAAAAATGATTTCATATAGTGAACGTACAAACGTTAAAATTGCGATAGCGCTTGTGAATTCTATAGTTGCGGCTTAAGTCAAGGGCCAACGAACGAAAATTCTGTGATCTCGTCTGATAACGTCAATGACAAAAGAAAGATAGATAAATCTGGTAATTACACAAAGGAAAACTGATGGTGCACAAGTCGACTCAAAAGGCGCACGCATACCCTTTGCCAGACTTGTAACTCAACAGTGGAGGATCGTAAACGCGATATTTTCAATAAGAATTAAAGTCCAGTGTTTACGTGGCAGTTTCGCTTTCGCATGGCTAAAAAATTAAAGAAACGCCGCGGCCCAGCGTAAAATGTTGATGTAGGAGAAGTCAGTCGGAAAACCGATTAAAAGAATTATTACGATCGAGTAAAAGCTCCATAACCAGTAGTGTTTACAATAATACTCTCCGCCACCCCTCGCTCAGTACTTGTCGACTGCACCCACCCCTCCCTGATTACATGTAAAGGTGTGCCTCCCCCTTTAAAAAATCGTCCAAAAAATCGTTAAAAAATTGTAAAAAAAAAAAACGTCCAAAAAGTAGTCCAGTCCAGTCTTTATTTTACCCTATGCCGGATGTGCATACGGAAATAACGGGTCGCATGTTACCTCACGCGTCAAACAATCAGAGTTCACCATGTGTTACCACAAATTAAGTAATACAAAGTGAAACATCATCAAACAATCAAAGTTCACCATGTGTTACCACAAACTAAATAATAAAAAGTGAAACATCATTCTAGCATCTGCGTTTACTTCTTAGACTTACCGTTGGTTCAGTTACTCATTTCAATTAAAACCGACGAGATTGCTGTTGTTTATTTCTATCGTTTGCGGCTATCAACCGAAAGCAGCGAGCAGCAACGTACGTTCTGAGGCGAAATTGCATGTGGTAATAGGTTTATTGGGGAGTTGAAACCCTGCACTCAGGGCACTAAATTACTATATGAGCAGCCGAGGATAACAGGGAATTGTCAACGCCCTGTTTAGACATGATAAAGATGGTCAAATATTAATTTTGCTTTCAATTTCCGGAATCACGTGGATGATCGACCAGACTGGTGACGCAGTCTGAAGGATGGCAAAAGAGTTACAAACCTTAATTATCTGTGGTCTTTTTCTCTGTTTCAGCGTACAAGTACACGGGAACGATGGTAAGATAAATATCTTGAGTTTGTATCACCTTATTTGCTGCTTTCATATGGATTCCGCTTTGCGCATGGATGGATGTCAGGAGCTGCGAGAGTCAACTAATGTTGCAGATGATTTTAATCAGTTTTCACAATCTCTCGGATAATCAGACGAGATTTCATGGTTTCATGATGGGCAAACATTTCAGCCAACTGCGACGAAATTTAAGTCCGTTCCATTTCGGAGCTAATTAACCTGACTGATTGCTAGCGCTCAATCTTCAAGCAAATGTAATGAGCTATTTAGCTCTGTCAGCACATTCACTCATTTGTATCTTCGGATAATTTGACTTTCAGGAAAGTTATTTTTTTTTTGATATGCCATATCATATGTTGATATGTCGAGGTTTTCAGTCGTATGGCAACAATAAGCTTGGCTGATGTGAGTCTTGTCTTTGTGTCATGTCTACCGTGATTTCCTCTTTATTTAGTGAAATTTATGTTCACGTTGCATATAAATAAGCTGATATTTCCTAATCTGTCAAAAGCGAACCTCACTGCCACCTACAGCCGGAGAATATTGAAGATATTGACACATGTTGATCGAAAATTTTATTCGTGTTAACTGTCAAATAATTTTTCCGTGTAGGATAGTTTTCTACGAACAATGATATTGTCGACCGTTCCGGTTGGAAGTCATTTCTAGCTGTGATCATGCTATGAAACAACATTTTTCTTTTGATTGAAAATAAAACGAGGACTCCTTCCTTAAAATAGGTTTGAAGTGAAAGATTTCATTATCGGGTACTTTGAAAAAAAATCCGTAATTTAGCCGAGACCAGACAAACCGTATTTGGGAAGTCAAATCATGGTTCGAAAGCCTGAGTGGAAACAAAATCTTGTAGAAATTAGAATATGTAATGCGTAAGCCACATCCGTTTTTGGGGGAGGCTGGGGAGGATCAGAAAAACGAGAAAAAAAAAAGAAACAACATAACACATTACTTGTCACAGTGGCAGAGGGGGGTGGGGGGAGCTAGCCCCCGCTCCATATCCCCCGTCGAAAACAATAATTCACCCTTGGGAATACTGCTTTTGTTCAGTGTAATACGGGGTTAAGTGAAGATCTTTCCCATGATTAAACTGTTCAAAGCAAAGCTTTTGCTGAGATTTTCAGAGATAAGAGCTCCTCGCGACAAACAGACTGCCATATTCAGAATCAAAATTCTGCTCGCTTCGTCTTGCGAATAAGCAATAAGGTTGGAACCGGTTAGATTTACGCAAAGTTAATCTTAGTGCATTATGAAACGCCAAGAGAAAAAAAAAATGCAAGAGGACATAATGGGACCGTTATTTTCTCTTAGAGACGCTTTTTTGGCAAATATCAGAGAGTGTATTCGAAATTATACATAATTCGAATGCGTTCAGAAGCGACAAGCGAAGCTTAAAAGTCGAGAATACTTTAATCCTCAACGTGTTACGTACCAAGAGTTTTTATTTCAATTTTTAACTTTCTTTACCTTAGCATTGTACCGCGCTTTTGATCATATCTGCATCACGGAAAAGGCGCGTTATAAATTTTTAATTACTATTATTATTATCCTCAAATAGAGCAATTTTCCA